GTCGTTGCCAAGAAATATTAGAACCGTAGCCTCGAGTGTTGCTCGTTCCTTGGAACCGAGAAACTCTGCCTCGTTTCTTGCTTCACAATTCCAACGGGGACGAGTTTGCATAATTGATGTAATTTACCATTGAAGGAGACTTTAAATTGAAGACGCGACGAGAGCAGAAGAAACGAACGAGCCAGGACAATTTTTCCTCTCTGTTCGATGGCGTTAAAATTCGCGGTTTCCTTCTTCGCGGCGTGCTGTCGTTTTTATTCTACTCTCGCAGCTTCGTTTACAGTGAGAAGCGTAACCGAACCGATAACTACAGACGTCGCGTAAATCAGTTTCTCACTACTGTCAATTATTAAAGTGTAGAGGAAATAAAACGATACATTTTGCCCGATTAACGCTGATCTAAACAACGTTTGAAAGTAGCGATTTTCTTTTTCTCTTTTTTTTTTTTTTTTATCCGTAACAAAAAGTATTCAGTTGTAGGAGTAAAATTGTGTTGAAATCATATACAGTGTGAAAATAGAATAAAATCATCCTAAGTGCTAAGGTATGATATACTAGTCATTTATTATAAATACCAGTAATAAGCAAATACTAATAATTCATTAAAGTTGAAAAATCTGATAGTATTAAAAAATATTTAAAAAAATCACTCGTACTGATTTTAATTATCTAAACTCGTTCCTATCGTGTTCATTTTCCGTACGCACCTTGATATCAAGGGTAATAAGAAATGATTTATAGGGAACCTGTGGTTACTGGTTCAACCATGCTTCTCACTGCGACCATGCCACGATGTCGCGATAAAATCGACACGATCGTTCGATGTTTATCGCGAAAACCATTGTGCCACGCGATAACACCCACCGTCGATGAAGATCAATCCTAAATTTTATCGCTATTCCCGCTAATAGCTTCACCCAGCGTTAAATGTATTATCGATTTCCGTGTTTGTTAATGGATAAACTTGCAGAAGCGAATTCACGGTGGAAAAGTGATGGCGAAAGGTCTGCTCTCTCCCTTAACAGCACCCATCGACTAAGCACTTTCGCAGAACTCTTTCAATCATGAACATCGCAATCAATTAGAGTCTATTCATTCTTCTACTCGCGATCTCTAATACTCGTTCTCGATCGCGTTTCCTTAGTTAACCCATTGAATGCTCAAAATTACCGAAACACTGAATGAACGTATTACAACAAATCAGGACGAAGTACGCAAATAGAATTGTCTTGATTTGAAATAAACAAATCTGAGAAAGATGCATATCGTGAGAGTAAAATTACTCCAACACGGACTAAGCAATCAAAGGGTTAATTAATTCTCAAATCACGAATAGGAAATGGATACGTGGAATGATTCGCAGTTGACACAGAATAAAATCTGTGGTTCGGATGAAAAATCCGCGTGAGAAACCTCCACGGTATATCCCCCTCCCCCGTTTTCTTCTGTCCCGAAAGTTTCAGAACGCTCGGCAAGAATGGAAGACGGGGGAGTGAAACAAGCAGGAAAATGCTCGTGTAGCAATCTGAGATGAACATTCTGCATACGCGAAATCGAACATCTAAGAATTAAACAGTGAGAGAAACGAGTGACGATAATGCAGATAGATTCCAACGACCGGGAGAATCAATACTCCGGTTCGAACAATCGGTAGATTGAAAAGAAAAAAAAAGAAGAAGAAGCAACTCCCTCCGGTTGCATCGTTGAGAGATTGAAAACGAACGTACGAACGGAACGATCGAGCAACTGAACGTTAACGTGCCCCCGACGTACAATGATCGGCGAAAAATCACGTTTCTATATTTCAGGTGAGCAAGAGCTGTGTGAGCAGCGCGGAATGCAGCTCAGCCTCGGTCGGTTGCATCCCAGTGGACACGCAGCAGGTGCGAAATAACGAATTTTTTCCAAGTATCCTGGCCTGGCTTGCCCTCTCTTTCGGCTGTTCTCTGAAACGCAGGATTCTTTCACTTTCTCTCTGTCAGACAGTCTCTCCCTGTTGGTTTCTGAACGAAAGAGGGGAAACAGCCGCGCGATCGGGTGAAATAAATTGGGTTATTTCGTTCCAGATTTGCATCAGTTGCTGCGACCTGAGCTACTGCAACATCGAGTCGCCGACCAACGCCACCAACGCCATATTCTCGCGGAAACGGCGCGCCAAATCGAAGTCGAAGCGCAAACGACCCGGCAGAAACGGGGTCGAGGGCAGCCGATTCTACGGGGACGGAGCGCTCTGGCTCCTGGCCTCACTCTTCTATGCATATCATTGCTGAGGAAGCAGCAAACGCGGAAGAATTTTCTTAGTTAGAAGACGCGTCGTGAAGCGGTGCGCCAGGCAGCTCGGGAATTATCCACCACCGGGGTTAACCATTCGAGAGACTATAAACAGAATTTTTGCGCAATCGTCTCTATTCTCTTGTCCTTTACTCGTATTACTCTCTCGTCTCTTCTCGACTGATAGCGTGTCCCTTCATTGTTACACCTCTACGCACACAAACACACACACACACACACACACACACATCCTTCCACGTTTAAAAATGTCTTCGAGGTAAAAATTAACTAACTGGAGCAGGAAAAGTATTTGCGACTCTGCGCTTCTCGCGAAGCTTTGGAGAGAGATCTATGCCTTCTATCGATCAGCTTCTCGTCTCTGTTTCCTCGACGAATCGTGCGTTACTAAATCGCGCGAGAGCGTGTTTAGCGAAATTAGGTATCACTTTGTCTTTCCCTTTATTCGACAGATTCAAGGAGCACCGGTTCGACTCCCGAAGCGGGGGAGACGTCGCTAGGATCCTCTGGGAGAATCCTGCGCTGTCTGAAGCATGTATAGTTAACCGAGGGTCGAGTATCAACGACTCTCAGTGATGAAAAAAAGGAATTGTTCTCTTCTCGTAGTAGCGTAGTTGCCTATGCCTTGTTAGAAAACGAAACGAAATGAAGAAACAAAAGACAAAAAACAAAAAAAGAAAAAAAGGAAAAAAATAATAAAAATGGAAACACGTAACACGTAACACACACGAGACAAGAATACTAAGCTCGAAATTCTGCGAGATTGAATCTTTCTACAGAGAAAGTTACAGTGCCAAAGAGAACGAAGAAAAACAATGGAACAGCTTCTATAGAGCCGATTTTACAGGGGCATTTTCATTTTCGATCGAGCATAGTCAACGCTGATGTACAACTGGTATATTAGAGAGAATGAAGATTCATGTTGTTTCCGCGTTTTAAAGGCCCCGATTCGACACGCGGAATTTCATTTCGACTCCTCGAGGAAAGGCGAAAAGGAAGAAAAGAGACGCCTGAGAAAGAAATGCCTGTTCCCTGCGATCCATTCTGTGTTTCAGTACCTGGTAGAACAACGATCGATCGTTGTCCTTGAGGCACTGGCTCGGTGAAACGCCATGAATTCCCCATGCGATCATGCGTTTCATTCGACAAATAAAGTAACAAACCGTTTCTATCGCTCTCTTTCCATAGTTTTTGCTTCTCACGATCCCGACCAAGCTGCTCCGTTAGACTTCATTTACTCGGCCGATCGATCCGTCAGTCGAATATTTAACCAGTCCCGGCGATTCAATTGAGGTTTTGTTCTTCTTTCTCTCGGTCTCCTTTGAGACGAAGGAGCGCATGTTGATCCAGCTTACGTGGAAAGTTCTTAATTAATTAAGTTCCTTAATTAACAGCTGCAACTTCAAAGAAATTGCTAATTATGTATCCGAGGCAAGAAAAGAAGTTCCTAATTACACCTGCGTAACGACATTATTTCCACTATCTCGTGCTACCTTATTTGCCGGTCCTTGATGATATTACCTTTTGTGTTAATGAAAACGTTAATCACCGTAAATCGTCAATTTATTTGATGAAATAGTTTCCTCTTTAGTTGGATATCGGAAGCTGCCAGTGTCGCAGAATTTATAACAGGGTGGAGAAAATCGGGCGCGAGAAAAGCGAGATTAGATTCATTCAAAAATCAATTTCCACTCGATTCTTATCGTTCGATCGTCGAACCGGGGCCGCGAGGACTCATTCAGTTTCCGTGGATATCGAGTTTCTTAAGCGAAAACGAGGAAAAAGGACGAACGTTGGGATAACCGGGCGATATCCCGGGCGCAAATCGAGGAGTTTGCTCCTGCACGCAGTTTGACAAATAGATATGCAAATCATGAATTACGCGAGCGGGGCGCACGCGGGATTTGAATTATCGATAAACTGGAATTACGCGTACCTAAAAGCTGTTTACATACCTACAAACTCGCCTACTAACAGACTATTTACTGCTATTACAATTATTAACAATTATACACGTAAATAAATGAATAAATATATAAATGAATAAATGAATATATATTATGATATAGAAATTATACATTGTTTCGGCATGAAGATGTAAGAATACTGTTGGTAATGAAATAAAGAAGACTATAATTGTCAGACTGGGCAATCGATGAAGTAATTTTATTACACAATCCTTTTAATTTTCGATTATTGACTTTAGTGTTGAAATTTTAATCATTAATCGCATTAAACTGATTTTTAAGTGCATCACTCTTAGGCCCAAAAAGTAATTGTAAAAATGACCATCGCCAATCCTTTCAACTTTCGATTGTTTAATTTAGTGTTGTAGATTGTTTAATATTCGTTTTAGAACATTTAAGGCTTGAAGTTTCAGATTGTAATTTATAAACTATTATATTAATATTAGATTACTCGCATTAATTGATTTATTAGGAGATGCGTCACTCACGGGTAACATTGTAAACGTAACGTGAGTAACACATTCCCAGGATGTATAATTCTGGTAAAAAAAAAAAAAAAAAAAAAAAAACAACCGCAAGATTAGGAAGGGCTCAAAGAGAGTTGGCCTTATGTAAGGGCCAACTTCGACATACTCAACACACTAATAAGTATTAGTTCAAGCAAGTCGCGAGTCTTACTTTTGCATCGTTTGCAAGTACACCTAGAGGAAGTTTCTAGCTCGTTACACACACCGCAAACAAAAAAGATACGTTCCAACACTCAATAAATCGCAGTTTATTTCCTCGATAACCTAGTATCTCTAATTACTATTGATTTTTAATGAGAGGAGAATATTTCGAATATAAGAAGCTAATGGTGTGTTAATCAATTATTAATATTGTAGCGAACTAGAAAAATTAATTTTTGTAGTTTTTTTTTTTTTTTTTGTATCAGTCTTCGTGATAGATGTATCGTAACAGGCTCCATCTTATTGCAAAGCTAAGAATTTACGTTGACTAAATAACAATCAATTTAATCAAATTCAGTATTGTAATTCGAATTTACATAAAATGTAAAAAAAAGGAAAGATCAAGTTTAATCAGCTAATCAATGGATTTTTCGAGAGCTGCAGAGTTAACTCGAATTTCTTAATCCGATCCAAAACCAGTGATGCAAATGTAATCTCTGTCTACATTATTCAAGGCATATTTAATCTAACCGATGATTCAACCACACGTTGTTTAGTATTCATTTAGTATTGATATGCTATTATTATAGATATATCTATATTGAAAAAATAAAAGAACTGAATTATGTAGAAGGAATATTGCACAGGATACTATATGAAATTTAGAATATAATTTAGAAATATTGATAATTGAAATATATAATTTAGGAATATTGAAATGAAAGATGTTCAAAATAAAAAGACATATGTAGTCTGGGATTAGAATCAATAGAATTTCGTAATTTTGATTCCTAATGATGCGTTTAGAATAAATTCGTTTCTCCCTCCCCCCTCCCTCCTTTTACTTCGATCAAATGCATATCTACACTATTATTTAATTAATTTTATTTAATATTTTAGTATTAATTAATATTTCAGTATTATTTACTAAACGATTGTGATGTAATAAATAAACATATATTTAGACGCAGACCGTAAGAATTCTCCTTCGATTAAAAATCAATTTCGAACAGATTGATTATTGAATCGTATAGAATTATTATTCATTTAAATATATATTAAATATATATTTAATATTTTAATCATTAAATATATATTTCACTAATATCACTGGTTCTGGAATATTCATTTTGAAACAAAGTATGTAATATCGTTAAAAGATAATTGATTCATATTTCCACTTACATTGCACGATGACGAAGATTCAAAATGATGAAACGATCCCGCCAGAAACCGCGCATTCGACGCCATATTGCCTTTCCTCGCCGTTTGAAATCTCGCATCGTTTCATTTTCGCACATCTTCTATTTCACGCGAAGTCGACTCGAAACACTATCACTCATGCTAATGGGACTGTCGCACTAACACGACATACGAATATTTTCTAGCTCCAACGAGTTTTAAAATGAATTATCGAAAAAGTTCAGTTGTATCTAATACGCGTTCGCGTTATGTTATAGAACACTTCGTGGCCGCGCGGAATTTTTCAAAATAACGCGTGTAATTTCTCTTGCCGACCGAAAACTTTATAATATTAGCACTCTTTATACCGTACGAAATCTATTTCGAGTAATTTTTGTGGAACATCGCGAACTTTTACCACGTAAACTCCGTTTATTTGACAGATCGACACAGAAACAACTTTTTGAACGAACGTCCATGATGGACATGGCGGATGTCACGTGATACTATTATTACAAATGTATCTACATACTATGTCATACATACCTCCTCCCTCCCCGCCACTACTACTTCAATCAAATGTATGTTCATATTGGTATTATTTATTTTACTAAACGATTGTCATGTAATAAATGAACAAATATTTGGTCTAGACACACAGTAAAAATTCTCTTTCAAATTATAAATCAATTTAGAACAGATTAATTATTGAATTATATAAAAATATATATTATATTAATAATATAATATATAATAAATAATATAATTATTTTTTATATTTTATATAATTAATAATATAATAATTATTAAATTATATAAAAATGGTTATTCATTTATAAAAATATATTTCACTATTATCATTAGTTCCAAAATATTCAGTTTGAAACAAAGTAAGTGATAATTGATTCTTGTTTTCTCTTATATTGCACGATAATAAAGATTCGACGAAATGATAAAATCGACAAAACAATTCTGTCAAAAATCGCACATTCGACGCCATATTGCTTCTTCTCACAGTTTGAAATCCCACATTTTCGAAACGTTATGCTAACGGCACTTTAGTGAATATTTTTTAATTTCAACGATTTTTAAGATGAATTATCAAAAATATCCGTTTCTATCTAATATGTGTTCACACTATAGGACGTCTCGTGCCCGCACAAAATTTTTCGAAATAACGCGTGTAATTTCTTTTATCGACCGAAAACTTTGTAATATTTGTATTCTCTATACCGTATGAAATCTACTTCGAGTAAATTTTGTAGAACATCGCGAACTTTTATCACGTAAACTCCGTTAATTTGAACCCGACACAAAGACAACTTTTTGAAGGAACATCCATGGCGGATATCACGTGACCTTGTTGTCCGTCTAAGCGCCACTAGACGGAGCCACTGTAGTCTATACATGCGCATCATCAAAATCTATATTAAAATGGAGGAAAAGAGTCAGGTTGTGGAACGAGAGGCTAAAAAAGATGAAATTCACGAAAAAGACGGAAAATCCAAAAGGTGAGCGATCGTTCATTCGATTCTTAAGAAGCACTTGTTGTATAATGTTGATTTGATGCGATTTGAAAATGTGTGATACGATTCAATGTGAATGTGAGTTATGGATGACCGGCAATACCGTAAGCACAATTTAATGTTATTTCTCGTCATTCGTTATATTGTTGTTAGTAACAATATTTCCTTATTAATTTGAAACAATGAAAGGATTATAGTATTACAATAATAGTGAAACAGGTGTATATAATACTATAGACTTTTCACTACATTAATAGCTGCATATAAATTCTATCGTGCTTTGAAAATGTTGAAGTTTCAATATCTTTAACCTGATTATTATTATATAGGTTAATAAGAGGATGATATTTTTAATTTAGTTCTGTAAAAAGACATCGCAAGAAGAAGAACAAGATGTCACATGGCAATGGCGATAATCACAACCACAGAGATGAGCATGAAATGCACAGCGCGTGTAATATTTCTATCAAGGATATACAAATGGCAATGGAGGTATTTAATATACAACAGAAACCTGCCAAAACTCAAGAAGAGGCTATGCAAAAACCTTATCAGTTTTGGAGTACACAACCAGTACCAAAAATGGGTAAATAATTTAATACGTTTATCCATCGTTAACCTTGAAAGATAACTTTAAATTCATCAAATTACATTGTCAAAATTTTCTACAGATGAGAAGATAGTTAAAAATGAACCCATTGAGTCTGACAGAACATCAATTAGGGCAGAACCTTATTCATTACCAGCAGACTTTCAATGGGACACATTAAACCTTGATGATCCTTTAGTTTTATCAGAATTGTATACTTTATTGTCTGAGAATTATGTGGAAGACGATGATGCTATGTTTAGATTTGATTATCCACCAAACTTTCTGAAGTGGTAAGTAAAATATCAACTAGTGAAAGATAAGATCTAACACAGCTTGATTTCTAATAGGATATACTTTTAGGGCACTGCAATCTCCTGGATGGTGCAAAGAATGGCACTGCGGAGTACGAGTAACTAAAAGCGGACGTCTAGTCGGTTTTATCTCTGCTATTCCAGCTACTCTGCGTGTTTATAATCAGTAAGTTTTGAATTATTTTTAATCTGTCCGCTGTTAACTGATGAAATGAAAATTTTAGTACCCAAAAGATGGTGGAAATAAATTTCTTATGTGTACACAAAAAACTGAGGTCGAAGCGAGTTGCACCGGTGTTAATACGTGAAATAACTAGGAGAGTTAATCTTGAGGGTATATTTCAGGCTGTATATACTGCTGGTGTTGTACTGCCAAAACCAATAGCAACTTGCAGGTGAGTGCCTGTATCAAAACCAATGTTACTGTACTAGTTACATTACTCGTTGTCATCTAACCACGAATTCATTTTCAAAGGTATTGGCATCGTTCTCTCAATCCAAAAAAACTAATTGAAGTAAAGTTTTCTCACTTGTCTCGCAATATGACTATGCAGAGAACTTTAAAGTTGTTCAAACTGCCAGAAAATACAAAAGTGCCAGGATTTAGGAAATTAGTCGAAGCAGACATACCTCAAGCTCATAAGATATTAACTGATGTAATTATTTTTATACGAATATATTAATGTTTTGATTCGCAAAATATTTATCAGTTCATTCATACGTTAGTATTTGGAAAAATTTGACTTGGCTCCAATCTTCTCCATCGAGGAGTTCCGACATTGGTTCCTCCCACAGAACGAGATTATTAATACTTTTGTAGTAGAAAAAGATGGTAAAATTACCGATATGGTTAGCTACTACACGTTGCCAAGCTCGATAATGCATCACCAGACACATAAGACGCTCAGGGCTGCATACAGTTTCTACAACGTATCCACAGCAACTCCTTGGCTCGAACTCATGACCGACGCACTGATATCAGCTCGTAATGTAAGTTCCACAGCTTGTACTTTCATTATATAAGAGAAAAAAAATATATATATTTACCTATTATTTTCAGCTTGATTTCGATGTGTTTAATGCATTGGATCTTATGGACAACAAAGAATTCTTAGAACCACTAAAATTTGGCATAGGTGACGGAAATCTGCAATATTATTTGTACAATTGGCGTTGTCCTAGCATGACGCCCGGGAAAATTGGTTTGGTGCTCCAATAAAGTTTAGATGAACGTATCCGAAAAGAAAGAAGAAAAACTTTCATTTTTTAAGCTTGCACATGCAAGCTTAAAAAACGAAAGTGACGATAAACGGTGGAAAGATAATATATATATATATAAAGGACATTGAAGCTGGGAGTAAATGATATGATTTAGAATTCTACCGTCGAACATCCAAAGCACGTTGAAAGAAAGGAATCGATATTTCCTATCTAACGAGTTAAAGTAGGATGTTCCATTGAGCTCGTTGGTTTCGCGGATATTATCTTTTCGACCTTGAACTAATGTCAGTTCTCATGTCAGAGAGCTTCCGACTTCACTCTTGGTCATGACATTAGTTCAAGGTCGAAATATGCATGTGCAACGTGTGTATATAGGTATCTGCGTGACTCGAGTAATGTAGATAATTATCGTACGCTCTAGTAATTTACAAAAAAAAAACTATGCGGGACAAGTTTCCTTCCTATAGGCATCGTCGGCCGCAGAGTTACTTGAAAGTTCTTGACGAAAAAAAAAAAACAAGCTTCTTGAACTATTTTATTTGAAATCAATACGTTTTTTCCTCGACGCCTGTTTTAATTAAATAGATGGCAAAGTGGGAGAGTGGAAGATAAAATTTAAATAAAAGAAGATCGAAGTAAAGCGGTCCATTGTTTGCTTACCACCACTTACCTTCCCTTCGTTATTCACACCATAAATTTCACTTTCAACTTGTAACCTACATATATACACTCCTGCACGGAATAAAAGTTCTGCTTATCGCATGTGATGCGTCGTTTATTGCCGGCACGGAAGGTTTCACGATCGTTCGATCATTAATTTCGATGGTACCGTTTTCTTTTCCGGTATCTTCGAAACACGTGATTGCATAACGAACGACCCGCTTCCGGCGACGATTAGATAGCGGTAAAACTAAAAAGACACAGAAAGAAACCAGTTTTTAAGGACTGTCATTAAGGGAAATACCGCTGACCCAACGGTGCGGCATCAAACGTAATTTATGTTGTTCAAATGTAAACTTCATTAAAACATAAATATATACAATTTCAGGCTGTATTTCGGGTAATTTCAAGTTCTCGGCTAATTTCTTTTTTATTTTTGTTCTTTTAATCTTGATAATTCCAAGCTTTCGACTAATTTCTTTTTTATTTCTGCCCTTTCGGCTGACGTATGTACTGTACGTGAGAGCAGCCGGTGGTTCTTAATACATACTCGAGGTCTTTGTAACAGTTGCTGCAGATCAATATTTAACACAATATACGCACAACTGACACGCAAGGCCTTTTCAAGATAAAAGGCGCCAAACCATGGCCCTGTGACGATTAAACTCTACGATATTTACACGCTCGTTTTTTTTTCATTTATTTGCTAACGTTTTTCAATCTGTGTTGCCTTGATACTGCCTGAATTGCGAATACTGATTTTATGATAATTAAATTAATTGCGAATTTTTATTCACTTAAATTTCAAAGTCCAAAAAAGCATATAATACACGTAATACTAAAAAATATGTAAAACATTCACAGCACGGTGCTGTTTATTCAAGGATAGAAGCAATTTTTTATTTAATTCCTACTTTTTTAGTATGATGTGCAGGGAAATTTAAATTTGCGTAAACTATTTACAATCTATAAATAATTTTATTTATTGAGCTTCAATCAATTGTCCTCCTCTATACATCCTACGATATGTCGTTTATCTAGAAACATGACATTACGAAATAGCACACTCTTCGATGTACGCACAAGTGAATAACGATTGTGCAAACTAATGGTGACAGGAAAAAATATCTTTGATCGTATAACTTCGCAGTAGAAAAATTTACCGATCAATTCTGGAATAATGTTGAAAACAGATGTTAAACTTACCTCGTTTCATTCTTCCATTCAATTTGTTCATTCTCATTATCTTTCGATTATTTTTACGATTATGATTACTAATTTGTATTTAATTTAATTTCAGCTTAGTGAAATCAATGATATTCACAGATGACAAATACTTGAAACGTATATCGCTACTATGATATTATTAGTATGATTAATGGTAAAAAGTGGAATTTATTATTGCCTTGGTTGTTATCATGCTTTTATTATCTTAATGCGTAAAGAGAAGCCCACGAAAGCGGACTTTAAATACCCTTATAAAAATGTTTCACCTAAGTCAATCCGACCATTAAGATTAAGAACACGTTCGTTACTTCCAATCTCGACGATTTGTTTTGCTTGTACAAGTTTCATGATTATTTTCAAATTCGGGTGTTCAAGCGTGGATAAAATTAACGTTTAATCAGAGTGTTTTCTACTGGCAAGTTTTCGCAAAATGGGAACACGCTCTTCGACACAACAGGCTGAAGAATTGTTTTATTAGATTCCATACGATCGCGAAATGTACAAAAAGTACAACGAAAAAAAAAGGATAATGTATAGTAGAAATATGGGCTACCCGCATATACTATCTGTAACATCCTTATAATTGTTTGATATTATAACACGGTTAATAAGATAAATAGTTTACTATTATTTCTAATTATTATTGCGATTGTGGGATATAAAAATCGATTAAAACAAAACTATATATTATAACTATATATATATATTGTAAATTTTTTCATTTTATACGGATATTTAAAAATGATTTTATTTATATAAATTGTTACATTATTTTTGTTAAATTATTAATTATTTATTAGAATATTAAATTTATAAATTATTTCACGTTACAAGACTGCGGATTTTTATTCAAATTCTACACATTTTCACTATAATCGAATATAGTTGAAAAAATAAAACCTTGGAGAATAAAAATTGTTTTACATTGTAAATTACATTGTTAAAGAAGACATTACATTTTGAATATTCTATTACATTCTTTTCATATATGTGTACGTTCTGTACATTTTCCATTGTGCGTTTTGAATTTACATAAAAGTCTACAGTCTACATGTTGCATACTTTCTGAGGCTCTTACCATTACATATACCTATATTCTAGATAACGCATGCTACGAAAAAATCAATCAAGGCAGTTTAATCCGGTAACCGGTGGTACAAGCGGGCAAGGCTCTTGATTTAATGAAACCCCATAAACAGAAGTCTATTAAGTTGAAACTCACGGTTAGTACAAGTGCACCGGGTTGATCTTCAAAATCGTTTCTCTCGAAAACGAAGCCTCGTGCGCAAGAACTTTATTTTACATTTTCCACTCATTTCTTTCCATGAAAGATCGCTTCTTGATTGACTGGACATTCTGTATCAAATACTATGCCATTAGTAGTAGTTGATAGAGTACGAATTTTTATGCATTTGTAGAAAGATAGAAAAATTTATTGATTTACTGGTAAATTATGAATTTATTAAATTGTTTACTAATTGGAAATAAATTAGCAAAATTGCTTTGAATACACGTGATATGAAAAAACATATGAAACATTCAATTTCTAAATATCGTCGTCGATATATAATATCTTCTAGATTTTCATCTTTTTAATTATATGAATTTTCAATCACAAGTACGACACAAAGTACAAGTATTTCAAGAATTTAACCATGAACATCTCCAGGAGAACAGATTTGCATAAAAATTCGTATTCTAGTCGGCGTGCAGTTGCACCGGATAATACGTCTGGCAGATCCGAGAAATACGGGCGATCGTGAGGTCGCGAGGTACATCGTCAGGTGAAGCACGGTTCCAAACGACGCGATGGAACACCGTCGATCCTCCACCGAAGGCCTTCAACTCTCGCGTGGTCCTTGGTCAGGTAAGTGTACCAATTTCGCCAGAGTGTTTCCCATACGGGGCTCAATGCACTCCAATTGCCAGCAAGATTGATCGCTAACGCGTGATGTTCTTTCACACGAAGCGGCGAATGAAAAAGAAAGAAACAGAAAAAACGGAAACGAGGAATCACCGAACAATACCCGGAGCAGATAACAGCGACGAAGCGCTGACGAACACGTAGGTGGGGAACACGAGACACACGATGTGTAGAATAAATAGTGGCCTGAAATCGAGCGGAATTCAGTCGCACTGCTGTTGTACACCACCGTCGTTGACGTTTATTCACGAAGACCACTGACTGAACACCTCGTGAAGTCATTCTGCTTCTTATCTGCAAGCAGGATAAAATCAATAAGTTTACCCGTAGGCTGATTCTACTACGCGTTTACTTCCTCGCAGGCTCGCCCAGTTAATAATCGACACGATCGTGCATTCGACTCATCGTCGTCACCCGAGATGATACTCCGACTGCTGTTGATGCTAGCTCCTGCACTTCGGATCGACGCGTTCTTTTTCGGGTACTTTGCACACGTGTTAATCGTCGAGATGCCTTGCGAACAATCGACTTTGCCTCTTCTATCCTTTGTCTCTTTTAAATTTAGCCTCGTTCGGCACACTGACGTATTTATTACACGCGCACGTATGGCTTTTCCTTTTTCCATTCTTTTAATTAAAAAATTGTCGAAGAAAACTTTTTTCGTGCATTTTCGTCGTTTCTCTGGATTTTCCTCAATCTCTGAATTACATTTTTACGTCAATATAGAACGAATTCATTCCTGAAAGAGATCAGAAAAGACCGGTACCATTTCAGGAAACACGTATTGCAGTTTACATATTGCATTATTAATTCAAATTTAAATATTAATTTTATATCATGGCAAAGATACGTTGCACTTTCTCCCCTCAAAGAATAGAAGATGTAGGAGATTAAAGAGTAAAAAAAAAAAAATAATGCGAATGTTGGCAAGCGCGTCCCGTAACTCCTGAAATATATCCATAAAGCGTTCAAGTTCACATCTGAAAATATCTTATCTAATTCATGTGTCGTTGGCCCGGCGGCTCTCTCGACTCGACTCGACGCTAACACCTCATCTCTTTCTCTCTCTCTTTCTCTCTCTCTCTCTCTCT